AACGCTGTAAATACCTGTGTTTTGGGCATGGACGCAATATGAATGACGTTCTTATCCCCCTCCCCCCACCCCCCACCCCCCCCCTCTTCCGAAAGCAAAGCAAAGACCTATCGTAGCACCGAAACCGCAAAACCGCGTGTGTGGTAGAATATACCCGGAACCCTATTCTAATGATTAAGGCCCCTATATTGCAATCCTTCCGGTACACTGTCTTGAGCCCACCCCGGCATGTGCTGGCCTGCGGCGGTACTCCCAGGGAGTCAGGGCCATGACCGTGATGAACAGACCTGCCCACAAGAATTTCGAATCAGTCTCAACCGTCGGCTCTTGATGGAGCATTTCGCCCAGAACCGTGTGCTTCACTGTTTCTGGGACCCGAAACCTCGCAGATTTTCGGAGATTTTCACAGAAAACAAATCACAAAAAGGTAAATGAAGCTGTCAGGTTCAAACATGTCTGTTGAAGTGATGGCAAGTACTGGGTGTGCAGTAGATCTTGGAGTTGTAGCAGCCGCGGAACTCAAGCAACTTCACCATGCAAAAGAATAAGAGTAATGTAGTTCTACAGGTATTTAGACGGACAAGACCGACAGACAGTCAGACAGATGCGGGTAAGTGTGCAGACAGACAACCAACGATCATAAATCCGCCGGCTTTCTTCCCTGAGCCGTGTGTGTTCCCATGCAGACTTGCATCTCTTCGAAAACTTCGTCCGAGCCTGTCATAACCAGGCTGGCAACAATCCTTGGGCCAAAATAACGGTTCATGTCACTTGAATGCTGAATGTGTTGCATCACGGCGCTGGCCTGCACGGAGCATACTGACAACAATGGACATTGGCTCGCGGCACTCACGTTTGGAGACTTCTACAGTACTCGGGTCCAGCGCAGGTTTTGGTTGGGGGGGTAGGGGGCAAAACAACTACATGGGTCTGCCGGAGTATATAAGGCATATGAGGAGGTCTCAAAGGACGAAAACTTGAAGCCACCGAGGCACAGCCCAAAGCCGAGACATCGAATCTTGCTGCGAATCAGAGCTTCGGAAGGAAACATGGCACTGAGGCGGGTGCTCAGAGCATTCGGCATACTGACGTTGAGGGCTTTTTGACGGGGTAAGGAGGATTCAGGAGGATTAGGGGTGCTTCGTTGAGCCTTACTTTGAAGTATAGTGGGGCTGGTCGGGAAAACTCGGCTCTGCAATTGCTTGCATGGTCTAACTATAGTTTGTATGTGTCGATGACCCAGACTTGTGGGAATTTTGCATGGATCTCGAGGCACAAATAGAGATCTGTTCCTGGCGCTGTCAAGACTGGCTCGATGACTCCAAATGGCTGCAGCGCGGTCATGAATGCCTAAGGCCACGGAGGAAGTTTACGTCCGCAAAGATACGCCAGTGTTTTGCAGACTGAACTGTGACTGGGTCAGACAGATGGCAGGCTTTGGTGCGGCCATCTGACCCATCATCCTATCATGCAGAAACTGTGAAGTTGCTGGTTATCCGAAGCGTGAGCGGGCAGTATGCGTGATGGGCTTTGCAGCTGGATGCGCTGCAACACAAATCCGGACTTCACGTCGCGAAGGGTTTAGCCTCCGCCTCAGGCCTCAGGCTTCTTTGAATTTTCTGGTGGCGGTGTGGTTTGGGGCTCGTCACACCATGGCAGGTCTCCTCGTCTTAGAACCCTTGCGGCAACCTTTTTCTCATCCGCGATGATCAATCGAAACTTGGGCTCTGCACTGTGGCAGATTACAAAGTTTGGAGACGGGAGGGTGCCGAGCTCCATATGAAGGGAACCCAGAGGCTGGGTTGTGCTAGCAATTCAGGGCTTTCTGGAAGCAGGAGCCCGGACCCGACCGAACAAACTTGGAACATCGCATTCCGGCTGAACATCTGCTTGACATACCTGGCAGCCATGCGGAAGCCGTTGTGATCAGAACTCTTCGAGGCACCGTCTGACACAACAGTTCGAACAAACATGACGCGTCTAAGCACCTGTAACTGTAAGTTTAGTGAGGAAAAACCATTTAAAACAAACCTAAGTCGACTTAGTAACTTAGAGCATTTGCCCCGCTAAAACAGCCAGCACTGCCTGGGCCAAAGCTAGAGCTGGTCGATTCTGTATCTGAATGGGGAAGAGTCGTTGCCAATCTACCGAAATCTCGGCAACTATCGTTACTTCGAAGATCAAGACATGAGGTTTCGGCAAGCACTCTCTCGCAACGCATTAATTAAACTATGGCGGTCGGGGCAAGACAGAATATTGAAGCATTCACTACGAGAGAGGTTGTCCATTCGCAGATTCTGCGTTAACGCTGCATATATTTCCTTCTGCGGCTGCTTGCAGCTGTGCCCAGCTGTGAGCTTGGGGATCTATTCAGATTGTTCGATGGCACACGTTGCGTGTCCTACCATCTGATTGCGCTTTATGAAAGATCGACTTCTAGATAATGAAGCCTCTCTCAAGCGTTCCGATTCTGCAGCAACGACTTGTGCAACATGCGCGGCACGTCCGGTCTGCGGGCGCAGAGACTACCCTGAAGTGGAATCACACCTCCCGTGTAAACAGAAGCGAACCCAAAGATCCACGCAAATTCGAAGGCAGACTCCCTGAAACACCAGATGTGGAGCATCTCTGTTTCAAAACGACATGCACCGTTTTTTGGCGGGGCTCGCCGCGGCCTCGAACCACGGGGCTGAAAAACCCTACCATTTTGTTAATGTTGAGCACAAGGCCTTAAAACATATGATGTTGCCTGTGTTAGTCTTCATCGCTGTTTACCTGTCAGCTGGACTTTTGTGATGTTTGGTTGTTTACGTGCTAGTCAGTCTTTTGCATTGACACCCCTCGCAAGCGCGAATCTCACGCACGGTTGCTGCTACGGTGTTGACGCATCTTTTGGACGAGCTTCTCAGGTTTGTTTCGGAAGGGTTCGCCCGGCACAAAGACCTGTTGATTGAACCACCTTTAACTGCATGGGTCGAATATCCATGCAGGGTCTTCCTGGAAGCAGTGTGCTGGCCAAAAACGAAATGCATGCGCGAGCACACGTGCGTCAACGTCGGCCCGACAAAATCTCATTAAGGCCCTTTGAAAGCTGGTTGAGCCGTGCATTGGGCAATCAATGTTAGAGATTGGGTGCCGCCACCCACAAACATACGTCAAGCACTGACAAGTCTACGCACCGTAGTATGACAAGAAAGGAGGAGTTCGCAGTCGTGGCTGAAACGACAACTGAACCTGGAAAGCCTTGCTCCCGAACCCGACCACAAATATGACCACAATTGATCTTAGATCCGCCTCATTTGTCACTGAAAGAAATCCTACTCAAGCCCAAACAACCAAAACCGAAGGCGCACAACTCTGTCCCAGCAGTACTCGCTCTCAAAGCAGAGCCCGGAACTCTCGGCTGGGCGTTCTTAACGGCCTCCAGCTTCACAGCTCCTACACGCTGAGCACTCCGGCATGCAAGAGCTTCTTGAATCTGCGAGAGCATCAACCCTTTATACGCGGCAGAGTGGAAACAACCGGTTCAGCGCTGAGCGGTAGTTACACAACCTCGTGGGCTCACCGGTGTTGACATGTCGGTGTGCGACGAGAAGTAAGAGTCCAGAGAGAAAGAAACACGGAGCTGGAAAGAGAAATACAAAGGCGGTGCAAACTCGACAACACCTGAAAAGCACGTTTCTGTGTGTGTGTCTGCATAGTATGTTCAAAAAAAGAGATCATTAACTAGATAAGTTAACAAATACATGCACAGGCAATGCATAAAGCAATACATCATTAAATAAGTACATATTGTATGTATGAACATGTGTATATATACATATATTATATATTCATCTACACACACACACACATTTTGGCACTCGCTCGGCGAGGTTTGCAGTACATCATAACTACATGCATACATACATACATACATACATACATACATAGGTGTGTACATGTGGTGACACATGCATACTTATGTACAGAGAGATGGCTAGGTAGGTAGCTGTAGGGGGAGATGGATGGATAGATAGATGGATAAATGGATAGATAGATAGATAGATAGATAGATAGATAGATGGATAGATAGATAGATAGATAAATAGATAGACAGATACATAGGCAACAAATAGACAGATATAGATGGATAGATAGGTAGACAGATATGTAGATGGATAGATGGATAGACAGACTGATTGATTGATTGATTGAATGCTCGGTTGAAATAAAAGAGGCAGGGTAATTATGAGACTATCTATACATACCACACAAATCCAACCGTACGTGCATACATTTTTGCGACAAAGGCAAGCATGCATGTGTATGCAGGTATGTAGCTAGGCATGTATGCATGCAGGCATGAACGTAATCGCACGAGCGAGCCGCAATAATCGACCAGACCAACAGGTAAAAGCACGTATTCCTGCGTTCTCCTACCGGATCATGTGAAATACACAATCAGAGAACCATATGTACGATTCTCCCAGCACTAGCAGCAGCATGAACATCTGAGCTACTGCTCCTTGGTTATGTCAACATAGAGGCTGTAACGATGCAAACGAAAGCGGCATCAATAGCATCGTACATGCATTGCGAATTGCATGCATGCGTTTGTGTAGTTGCGTATGTATGCATTCATGCATGCATGGCAGGATGAAAGGATGTGCGTATGGATGTACGTAGCTATATCGACGCAACCAACTCTGAGCAATTGCGTTTGTGTACGAAAATAGATAGATAGATATAGATAGATGGATACATAGATAGATAGATAGATAAGTAGATAGATAGATACATATTGAGACAGACAGACAGGCAGACAGATGAATTTTGACGTTTGCCTCACTTCAGCCTGAATTATTTGCGCAGCTCCTACAGCCTTACAAAACACAATTGTCTGGGATAAGATTTGTCTAGTGTAGAAGTTGCATAGCATTCAACTCCAGCGACATGCGTCGCCCTTGATCGTGCTGCTGCTCCGGCTGTGAACCTTGGTGTGTTGTCTTTTCAACAATATTTGCGGTTAGTGCTGATTTCATTTCTCACATCTGCTGAGCTGGGGATGAACGTGAGTACACATACCCAATACGGTATACATAGATCTTTACGAATGTAAATATGCATTCTGGGAACAGGCGGACTTAACGATGTTTTTTATGAGCAGGCCTTCATGATGTCATACGTACAATTTTGGAAAGGTTTGCGAGGTGCATCATATCTCGTGCATGGTAGGTCGTAGGCAAATGAAATGCAAGCCACACGCTACGTATACGCATGGGGCATTCGAAGGCATTCGAAGGCACGGGGTGTTTCTTCCCGTATGCTTTAAACTACAATCAGCAGTTGGCAGCGGTTCCTGCTCTGCATTGTTTTCGATCTACAGGTATGGATCTGGGGATCAAGTCTCGTCCATTGCAGCTTGCATTCCGGAACACCGGATACCTGAACCGTCCAGGAACATGCATGTTCAACCGAAGCAAAAAAAACTTGATGAACAGCAGTGTGAACAACGAGCTCTCGGGAATTTACTTAGACAAGGCTAACGGCCTGTTGCGCTTAAGGACCTGTTCATGGATCGAGAACCGGTGAGTTGCAGGCAACAGCCTCATTAAATGTCCCCGAAATAAGCTTACACATCTTTCAGGACAGTGCTGCAGGGGTATGGGAGATGTGTAAGGCTTACACATCTCCCCCATACCCCTTCAACACTGTTTTGAAAGATCCGGGCCTCAGCTCACCTTAAGCCAAGCAGAGGGATGATCGTGTGTAAAGACAAGTCATCGAAACCCAAGCTTCCTGGGGGCGAACATTTCTGCGACATGAGACATGATGTAGGGGCCTTAATTAGAACAGAGTTTCGGGGGTTCCTTATTATAGTTGTGGGAGAATATACCCCCAAACCCTATTCGACTTATTAACGCCCCTACATTGCTCACAATACAGGCCCTCCTATGAAGGCTTCAGTATCTGAAATCACCGCTCCATATGCTTTGATCCCAGCGTTGGCCTAGGAATTTCACAGCAAAACTAAGAGCCACAATTCCAGTGTTTGCGTTGGTAGAGAAACCACTGAAAGCTCGTTGTCTGGATGTGCAACTCGCGACAGCTCGAAATACAGTGCAAGCCTTGCTGACATCATGACTTGGCATGCAGCTTCTGCTTTCTGAAAGACCATGCCGTGGGCCTTCCCTGCATGTCATCTGCAGTACATAGAGACCACCCAAGCCTGACTGCAAGTGCCTTTCTCTCGACGTCGACCCCAAAGTGGAGAATTCATAAAGCAGCCCTTCAAATCTTCTGATGCACCAGCGTCAAAAGTGGTCTGCATGAGTGATACAACCGAACACTTCCTACTGCATCGCTTACATGTGCCGTGCGCGCCACATGCACACATGAAACAACAGAGTCTCTAGTGTCTCTTGAGTTCAGAGAACATATTGGCAAACATATATAATGATGCGCTTGAAAGTTCTAGCCTGCTAAGTTGATGATTCCAGGCTGGCATGAGTGCCCAAGCAGCAGAAGCCAGTCGGCATGATGCCAGGCTACCGACCACCTTTAAAAAGACATGCTGCGTTGAACTGACAGCCTACACTTCCGGCTTCCGGAACAGGCTCCACGAGCACCTTAGCGGTCAACCTTTGGCTGCAAGAAACAGATCATAATCGAGTCTGAAGGTTGCCGCGCTAGATGTTATGAGTAGCCAAATGTTTTGCAATCGCCCATGGATCGATCTGAAGGATTTAGGGCCCTAGGGTTAGGGTTTGAGGGTTTAGGGTTTAGGGCCCAGCTGAGGGAACCATGGGCACAACTAGAACATCTACCACACATCTTACCTTGCCAAAAGGTCTGACCAGACGGTACGGGCATTCCGCAAATAAGAACTAAGCAATGCCCGTGCCTGCCATGACATCTCCAAGGAACCTGCCCTCTCGTGGCCAGCATCGGGAAGTTATCGAACTAGACAGACTCTGTAGGTCTAGAGGCCCGGACAGACTTCAGAAGTCATAGTCACACGAACTCGAAGTTGGAGTTTGAGGGAACGTACTTCTTCTGCTAAGATGAAGACAAGTCCACAGATCATGGGTCTCACCATGCGCAATTCTTCCACAGGGAATTGAACGTTGCTAACCTCTTCAGTAGCCAGCTGCAGGTCTCGACGAGGGCTGGAGAACACAAAACTGTCGGAGGTGCTGGGTTGAATCCCTGCATTTGACAGATGGGTGGTTGTCAAAATTAGGGTCCCTTTTGGGGTACCCTAAATAGTAGGTGCCGTATTAAAATAAGGACCCAAAAAGGGACCATAATTTTGACAACCACCCAGATGCTGGACTAGACTGAGGTTCGCATCAGAACCTGGTACTACTACGATTAGTAGTGGACCAACCATGTCACGAACTCGAACCGAAAAAACGATGCCATTGGTGTCAGCTTTGGTCGTCGTCGTAGTGGCAGTAATAGTCGTCGTGGTGGTGGTAGTAGTAGCAGTAGTGGTAGGAGTCATAATAAGAATAGTAGTAGTGACAGTCATAGTAACAATAGTAACGGGCGGAGTAGAAGTAATAGTATTCCGTAGTCATAGTAATAGAAGGAGTAAGAGTAGGAGTAGGAATAGTAGAATCAACAGTAATAGTAGAAGTTGTCGTAGCAGTAGTAGTGGTGGTAGTAGCAGTAGTAGTCGTCGTGGTGGTAGTAGTAGTAGTAGTGGTAGAAATATAATACTAGAAATCATATTTTAAATAGTAACAGTAGTGTTAATAATACTATAATAACACGATTGTCATTATGGTAGTAGTAATGGGTTGCTGCAGTGGATTCCAACCCGTAGCTCGAGCACACCAGCGAACCCAGCCAAAACAGATACTTCTGACGGCCCAGGCACAACTGCCTAGGGGTCGGCTAAGCATTCGAAACTGGTGCGACACGTGGGGCATGAGCTGGCTGACTTAGAAGTCGCCAAGGACCAACGTGCAATGCAGTCCTCATGGAAAACGTGCCCACAGGGAAGGATCGCAACTTGACTGCGGGGCTGAAAATCATCCAAACAACATGCGCAGGTGCGCTTGAAGAGACAGGCGTCGCCCTTGAGCAGTGCAGGCCCAGTTTGCTGCCACTCAGCACCGTCTGTACCCGTCTCCACATGGAAGGAATGGAAGCTGAGGCTGTGCGAATCCACAACCCCGAACTCCAAGTCCTCGAAAACATTGGATGCCCAGATGCAATCGCAACTCTTCTTATCGACAGTGGCAGTTCTTCTGTCTGCAGGAGGATGCGCATGCGGGCGGTCGAAAAGGAGAGAGATAGCACCAACCATCAGCATACAGGCCAACGGAATCACGAGCAAAGCTGAATAGCCATGACGGTTCTCCACGGCTGTGAACCCAAGAACCACGATGAGAAAGATCATAGTCACGAAGCTAATCGCAATGACAGACAGCCTGGTTTGCAACGATTGCCCGCACATTCCGACAAAGCATGCACTCCTCTGCTTCATAGGCTAAATTCAGAAACCATTATTCACTTTAGCTCCCCAAGCAAGCTACTTTCCTCCGAAATCAATGTCGTTATCGTTGGGCATTCTACGCGCTCTCGATAGCACTGACAATTCGTGAATGGCCCTGTAAACTCAAGAGCACCTCATACCACATTTTTAGCCCAGGCACGCGCATGCTCGGATTCTGGATTGGAGCTGGATTGACAGCTCCCTCGCCATTGCCAGATTAACCTTGCCCGTGGGCAATATGTGTGGTCCCACTCCCCAACATGGTGCCCACACGCGTTAGGTGTAACATTTGCAAACCCCTGACCTCAAGGCTCGCCTCAACTGTCCGTGCAAGTCCGAAGACCGGCTGTTCAACAAGACACCGGCTCCTGGGAGGAGACTTGGAGTGCAAAGCATCTCTGGCTGGCTTCACAGATCTGTTAGCCCCTGAGAAGATAGAGGAATGCCGACAAGCGTTCATGTCTAACCTCAACACCCCAGTTCCCGACCACACCAATCAGACTCAACCCTTTTCGGATGACTTCGGAGACACAGTTTGGACCTTGACCACTTTGCGCTGCACCTCAAAGCTACAATGTTCGATGCCGAGAAACCTTTTCTCGTTGACGCGCGGCAGGGACAAGCACGAAAGATACTGTTCCTGCCTCTATGCAATCATGAAGCGGCAGTAGCAGCCGGGAGGAATCAGTTGCTTCAGTTCTCCACCTAGTGTCCACCGTGCCTTGCATCTATCCGAGCTGCCCGTATTTAGTGACATGCTCCTACTTATAGCCCTCTAAACTGTCTGAGGACAACAGCGACTTTGACCATAAGGCGGCCTGCTGCTGGAGCCGAAAGCAAGGCCAAAGGATGAAGATGCTGAACGCGGTTGCTTGAAATCAGCCACTTCCGGACGCAGTAATCCTTACCACCCGCATTTTTTCTGGGGCTCCCTGTCTATATATATATATACAATTATATACACATACTCAGAGCCAGCAGTATGAAGCATCAAATACAAAAAGTGGTGTAATATCGGGCAGTTCCTGAACATGCACACTCCAAGCTACACAGGGGCAAGTGTGTTGCGTTCACTTGCAAACTTGACGATCCGCCTCTCACTACGTTCATGCACTACACATGGAAGTGCAAACAGGCCTGCATACATGCAGGCAATAGCAACCACATTTGCGAAACATGTCTGTCCATCTGCGGTCAGTCTGTCGATCTGTGCCTCTCTTCCAAGTGACGTGTACATAGCTAGCTAGACAGATTGGTCAATAGAAAGATGGATAGATCAATAGATGGGTTTCTCCACTTCCCTGCAGATGCCATCGAAGCATTGTGGATATCCCTGTAGACAAACCAATATCCAATAACGACAATGAAAAAACACAGCGTCCTTAAGCTTTCGTTAATTATCAGTTGCCAGTGGTGTTGGAGGTACTAAAGTATCGTTTTTCCTAACATGACTCATGACTGTCATTCTAATATTTCTTGGCACTATGACTATGATAAATTTATACTCCAACTACGAAGTACCATCACGAGTTCTCAACATTGCGGCTATTCGGTCTCACGCAGCTCCTTCACCTCGCCTCATAAGCCCGAAGACCTTCAGCCCAACGCCGAAACAAAACTGAGGCCCAACATCCTCACCAAGAGGCCTGGCTGGGTAGGATTGTGTTTGGGACTGCAAAACCTTGATTTTAGTTCTAGTCCCTGCAGCCGTGTACCCTCAATGTCCCTGCATCCAAGCCAAAACTACTATCCTAATGCCCTCCAGGTCCTTGAATCCAACTATCCTAATGATCGGAAGCAGAAGCCTCGCGAAGAGCTGCAACTTCGTGCAACTCCCGGAAAAGGGCGCGCTCTTCTTGCCAGTAGTCCTCCAAGCACGGGGTCTTCGGTTCAGTGCACCGAAGCTCTATGGCAAGGAGGGCAGAATACAGGCCGGTTCGTCTCAGATTTCTCGTAACTTCCTACTAGTACGGCCTGAATGTAGCGGGTGTCAAGAAGTGCTGCGGGCTCTATAGGTGTTGCGGCACACTGCGGAATGCTTCACTCATCTGCAACGTGACCCTGAAGGGGGAACGCCACGAAATCTATGGTGTTCTAAGCCTGACATGGGTATTGGGTCGTTGTGGCCTCAGCTACTTGCAGGAAACCAGTCCTGGACTAGATGCGATGTGACTGACTGTTTTGAGACTTGCTCAGAGCCTGAGTTCAATATCGTCGAAAGTGCCAGGCGATTCGATTCTTGCCGTCCTAGGGCAGTGCACTCAAGACGCAAGCCTCCAAGTAGCTTCTTCTGGGGATGCCTGCGAGTAATTCTGTTTTGGCCGGATAGGAACCCCGAAAGCCCTCATGGGCTCAAGGCAGACCCGATGAACGTGGTCGACAAAAAATTGGAATCCGAGCTCCGACGGGAAAAACAGGGTCCGTCTCTGCGTCGTGGTCGGGAATCTTGGTGTATTCCACGCGGAGATACGTGTTTTTCTTTGCGAAGGCTCCGGGATTGAGCACCTGTGCGTGGAATTTCTGTCTCCGGGTGCTTTGTACATAGATGTTTCAGGTTGCGCAAGGCTTCGTGGCAATCGGCAGAAGCGATGACACATGCTTCGCTGAAGCCTCTGCTCAGCAAAGCGCGCACTCAACTCTGAAGATCTTAACCCAATCACGGTAAATCTTCAAGCCATCCGCGCTGAAGTCGAATCCCATAAAGCCTCCCAGCTGCAGAAACCCGCAACTCAAGTTCTCAGTCTCAATCACTAAGCTAAGCCCTCGCAACATAACCCTAATGTAGTGGCCTGAATGATTATAGAATAGGGTTTTGGGGCCAATTATGCTATAATTATAACACCGCACGCCCAACATATCCCCAAAATAGTATAGGTAATTATTAAGGCCCCTACATTAACCCTAACGCCTAAGCCAAAAGCTCGAAGTGAAGCACAGCTTCCCTGAAGGTGGAGTGCAGGTTTTGGAACACTTCTCAACTTGGGCTTACGGGTTTACGGTTTAGAGAACGAAGAACTTCTGCCCATCTCCCGCAACTTAAGTGCTGAGAGCCCCAAAATACCAAAAATGTGCCACCCCCCCGTGCCCGAATCTACACACAGCAACCCAAACCCTATAAGCCAATCAAGCCCAGTCAAACCCCACACCCATTTTTGACCACAGTTTCGAGGCCTTAACCTATAAAACCTAAACCCCGAATCCCCACCCCAAAAAAAACGTCCTTTTTGCAACAGGCCTCGTTGTCCCAAAAACCTGAAACCCTGAACCACTTAGCCTTATAAACCCTAAAAAACCCACATCCCTCATCCCTATTAAAAACCCTACCCATAGGCCCCATAGTAGTTCCTTTACGTTACGTATATTTAGGATTCCATTAGATCATCCCAAAGAAGAACTACTATGGGGCCTATGGGTAAGCCGTAAAC